GATAACTCTTTGTGAATTAATCATTTATGACATCAAAGCTGGAAGGTCAAAGTTTACACTTCATTTTTACATGCAGCTTTCTGAATATGCATCAAAATCCTGGGCAGTAAACCTTATTCTTTTTTAAGCTGAGCATTGCAAATAGATGATGATGCTATTAAACCACCTCTCTAATGTCAGATCCAGCTTGCAGTGTGCTGAGCAGCCTGGTTTGTAGCTGCCTGAAGGGACTCAGGAGAGAGCTGGTTCCCTCCTTCATGCTTGTGTGGATGTAGCAGACAGACTGAATGCACGATGACGTGACATGTATGTTTATGATCCAAAACAAAGCTTTAGTCATCCAGCTTCAAGGGTCATCTTTTTATATTATTTCTATTCTTGCTAATATTTTTTTGTTTAAATGCAAATGAAGTATTTGTACATATCTTGATGGAATACTTATTATTTCACATAGTCTTATGAGAGGGTTTTATTTTTGGTTTTGTTTTTATAAAGTAGTTACTTAAACAAAAGGGTCTCGTCTTAAATTATTTCACTCAGGAGCCGCAAAACACAAAAGATGTTATTAGTCTTGAGGACAATTCATTGTTAATATTTTCAGTTTAATATTATAATGTAAAACACAGCTAAATGGTTGAACGACCTAATCTTGTCTATGAATTATGATGCTATTCCTCGTCTACAAAAGGACTGAAATCAGAANGAGGTCACAATTAATCTGAGCCTCATATGAATAAAATAAGGATGCACTAAAGTCTGAAAATTCAATGAATCTATTTCGAGATAGGGAATAGACACTTAAAGCCAACACTCATGTCAAGAGAAAAATAATGTGAGACGCACACACAAAATGGAATATTATTCAGTTATGAGAATGAAGACTATCCTACCATTTGCAACATGGATGGACCTTGAGGGCTGTATGCTAAGTAAAATAAGTCAGACAGAAAGACACATGCTGTATGATTTCACTTGTATGAGTCATCTAAAAAAGCAGAACTTGTAGAAACAGGGTAGAATGGTGGTTAACAGGGACATGGACAGGGATGGGGAGATGTTGGTCAAAGGTACAAACTTTAAGTCATAAGATGAAAATGTTGTACAGCATGGTGATTATAGGCAACAATACTGTATTGAGTATGTACTTGAAAGTTGCTAAAAGAGATCTTAAATGTTCTCACCAAAGAAAAGAAATGGTAATTCTGTGATATTTGTGACAATTGTTATGCAATATATAAGTATCAAATCAACACATTGTACACCTTAAACTTGCAGGGTATTATATGTCAATTATATCTCAATAAAGTTGGAGGGAAAAAGAGGAATAATGTACAAAATAAATAGTCTTGTGAAGATGGGCCATGGAGTAAAAGGGTCAGCAAAAATAGATGAGGCTATCTTGGAAGGCTCCCCAGTTTCTTTGCACTAGATCTTGAGAGCATGAAGGACATGAGTTGTGGACAGAAACAGGGAGCTCATTGAGTTTTTCCCCTTGGTGGTCTGATATGAAAAAGTGCATTTCAAAATCACCTATGTTGTACTCTGTGTTTAACTTGTCCTAGCTCTCTCACCCATGTGTTTCTCTCTCCCTCCTTCTCCCTCCCTCTCTCCCTTCCCTCTCTCTTACCTTGCTAGGCCTGTTCTCTTCCCTGAGAATGTATCATTAATAAACCCTGCTTGCATATTTAAATAAAATAAAATAAAGAACATTTAAGCTCAATAGGTTTGGCCTGGGTTTTAAAGGAGCAAATGTGCATAGACTGGAGGAAGGACTTCCAAGGGCACAGCAGAGAATATCTCTCAATGGCTGCACTCCAAAGCAGGAACTGAGGTGGGGAAGATAAGCAAATTGACCAGGGTGAACTAGAATATTTCGAATCTTCATTAGAAATGACAGAGAAGAAATTGAAGAAGTGAGGAGAAAACCTTGCCAGTTCATTTCAATGCTTATGTGAGATTTTGAAAATCTAGAATAGGACCCCTGTAGGTTCTTGAACAAGAAAGTGTGAAAACCTTAGGTAGCTCTGTGTGAAGGACTTTTAGGTTCTTAATTGAATTTTTATTTTGAAATAAAATTATTTGTTGTAAATCAAGTATGTGAAAGTAAGAGATACAGATTTTGTTTGGAAGGGCACTTGTATTTGGAATAAGAACCATCTATAATTTGAGATACAGATTTTTAAAAATTCTTAGATGCCGATTGGTTATTCGTGTTGCCCTACAATTTTCATGTTTTTAAATATTTCCTAAGATCTTATTTTTTGTTGACTTTTAGATTTCATGTATTATATGATAACAACCATTATAATTTTAAAAGACTCAAACTCTGTTGATATAAAATTGAGGGGTTTTTGTTGTTTTTGTATTGTTCCAGTTACACAAGGGAGCATAAATATTAGAGAACATGGAAGTTAAGTAGGAAGGAAGGAATTATTGACGTGAATCATGCTAACCGAGTCCCGGGTGTGGCTCCACATGTGCTGTGGAGTCGGAAACTTGATGAGGTTCATATAGGCAAGCCAAGAATTAACAAAAACAAATCTAAATGCCACAGAGGGGACAAGATGGGAAAGGTGACATTTCCTGTTTGTTACTGCAGCCTAACCTATCACAGAGAATTGAGTAAATGTTATGCGATTATGCACTTGAATTCCTTAAAAAAATCAGATCTTTACAAATAGAAAGATGTTCTGTTTCCAAATAAGAATTAATAAAAATGATAAGAGCAACTGATCAAAGTTAACATCCCAGTAGTGGACATCATGGGAACCTGAAAACAACTCAACCAGTACCTTTGTAAAGAAATGCCAAGGAAGGAGATAAATTGCAGATCACACCAAGAAACAAAACCCAGTAAAGGGGAATGCCCATCTTTGCAAAAACATAGATTTAAGCTCTGAAATACTCAAAAAAATATAACTCAGTAGCTTTTAAAAATGCATTTCATGGACCCTTTGGAATATATTTTAATAAACAATTGCTACTGTGTTATTTCTTCTACTGAAGGCAAAGGCCAGTCTGTATTTGTTTTTCAATGTAGTCAAAGTTGTCCGGTTTAGGATTTTGGGTCCATAATAAATGTTATTATCTAAATATCAGACTTTTTCCTATGAAGATGAGAGAATGATGTCTGATATCACCAGAGTATTTTAACTGTAATGAGTGAGTTTTTGTTAAGATAAAAAAAAGGTAATAATTTCAATTAATGAAATTTATGATAAATTTAAAAATTAAAGAATCAAAAAGCTTCTGTATTTAGAACTTCTGTGAATAATCCCTTAGAGAGCTTCTGCACTTATTCCTGTGCTGCTTCTCAGGATACATTTCTTGCTCATATTCAGAGAAAACATCTCTTTTTAAATGCTTTTTTATAAAGGAAACATACTATGTGATATCATAACAGTAAGAAGTGAAATACCGATTCAAGGTTTACCAATGGATGAAATTAATTTAGAAAAGAAATATAAATAAAATCAGGATAGTTATGGGTGTATGAGACATAGTTATCCACACGAGCTGTTATGCAAAAGGGTATTGCTGTGGGCTCCGGCTTGTGTGAACTCCTTTGAGGGCTCAGTTCATTGTTTCAGTTGCCCACTGGCGAGAGCCTGCCAGCACTGCCCTCTACTCTTTGTCTTTACTGAGTGCACACTGACATGACTGCTTCATATCAAGCCCTCATTCTTGGAATGTCCTGTAGGTTAACGGTGTTTGTAATCTCGATCACGCACACAGTGTAGCACAACTTGATTTTCTAGTACATGGTTTTGCTGGAGCCCAAAAGGCAGGGTAGTTATTTCAAGGACAATATGTTTGCTGATTTAGGTGGCAATGGCTCCCACTAAGATGCTGTCACCTCTGAGCAAGGGCACATTTATTCCAACATCAGAGCTGCCCATCACGAACTAAGTTTAAAGATAGCTTTCACTGATGGGCATCTGTGACCTTTGGTTTTTTTCACATTGCACTGGCTAAAAGCTCTAACAACTCTAGTTCCTAAAATGACGAGGTTAAGGGATCCAATTAACAGTCTTCTGTTACCAGTCCACTTAAAAGCCTATCATTCTGATGCCTTCATTTTTCCCCCTGTGACTTCTCTAAAGTGACAAATAAATGGAAATGATTTGACCCACAAACACTTATTGATTATGGGGACAGGATGTTATATAATGGTTTCTTTCTTACCAAGTATAAAAGTAAGGATTTTAGACCCTGCCCATGCTAAGTCTCTCCTTTGCTGCTTTACGTTTTTAGATGACTAAGAATGGCACAGTGGAATCTGAAGAAGCTAGCACTCTTACAGTGGACGACATTTCTGACGATGATATCGACTTAGACAATACAGAGGTAGATGAGTACTTCTTTCTACAACCCCTGCCAACAAAAAAACGGAGAGCACTGCTGCGGGCCTCTGGAGTGAAAAAGATTGACGTGGAAGAAAAGCATGAGCTGCGAGCGATCCGCCTGTCACGAGAGGACTGTGGCTGTGACTGCCGTGTGTTCTGTGATCCAGAAACATGTACCTGCAGCCTGGCAGGCATTAAGTGTCAGGTGAGGATTTGGATTTCAGGGACCCCAGAGACAAGACATTATACACCACCCCCAAAAGAGGCAGTCATGTTACATATAACGAATTTTCCCACATGGAGAAGAACACTGGGGGCAAGGCAACACACATGATTCAAGGAAAGAGAAGTACTCTTCAAGGACATTTATGGGTATATATAACATGCTCATACATATAAGCTATAATGTGAAAGTCAACCCAAACTGTAGCTGAGTAAATCAACATTATTTCCCCTTGGATTCATTTATTAGACAGGTTTATTTTAGCTTTTTATAAGCATGCAGGCACATCGTCACGTCCCTAACATTTGAGTTTGTATTTTCTGATTCATCCACGGGGTATAAAATAGTGATTGATTAGAGGTGGTATGGACTAGTAGAAAAATTACTAGACTGGGACGTAAATCTGAGTTCTACTCCTGGCTCCTCTTTTTGCCAGAAATTGGCAAGTAAGGTAAACTTCGTGGGCTCAGTTTCCCTGTCTCTAAAATGGAAGGGCTGAGCTAGATCAGCCCTTGGCAAACTATAACGCATGGGCCAAATTTGGCCTGTCGCTTGTGTTTGTAAACCAAGTTTTATGGAAGCATGGTCATGTTTTTGTTTGCTTGTTTGTTTATTTGTTGTATATGACTGCTTTTATGCTTCTACAGTAGGATGAAGTAGTTGCCACAGAGACCATATGACTCACAAAGCCTAAAGTATTTACTTTTTAGCCCTTTACCCAAAAAAAAGTTTACCAACCCTTGGACTAGATGATTCTCAGGTCCTTATCCATCTATAGTGTCATTGATGCTTCATGATTAGTTAGTTGTCATTCTTCTATGCAGAAACTTGGCTTTTTTAATAAGGAGAGCCCCTCAGCAGACAGGAGAGGACAGTTCTCATCAGCTGAACAGTCAGATTCACAGAAAAGGGGTTCATGAGTAATAAAACAGCTCTAGAATCTGGTTATGACATCTGGTACTACTTTCTACTGGGACCAGGATGATGGCGCTGCAGTCTGCCTTCCCTGTAGCATAGGACAGTCCCCATGCTCGAGTAAGGTGACCAACAGTTCAAGTTCTTTCTGGTTGCCTGTGCTCTAGTCTGCATACGGGTTAATTGGTAGGATCTGGGACAATTAACAAACATCTTGGGAGTTCCCTTGGATTGCCCAGAACTCCACGAATCACTTGAGTGAGGCACTCAGTGCTATGACACGTGCTGAACCCCATTATTCTATCTATATAATCCAATCAATTAATTTGAGGTTATGGGCTAAATGATCATCCTGTTTCTTCGAGAAGCTTGTAGTTTGATGAAGTAGGGAGGTGAAGGAGTCAGCCAGGACTGAAACACACGAGTCCACCAGTCACAATCATGACTGTGCACACCGATCGCAGCCCTGCCGGACACATACACACACACCATGTACCCAAGATCCAAAAGGATGAGAAGGTAAACCAATGAGAGCAAATGATCAGGCTACACAGTATTAAGTGGTGTCCATCTGGACACCTTGGTCAGAGGAGTTCATTTTATAATAAGCAAAGAAAAAAGGGCATGGCTAATATGGGGTATGTCCAAATTGAGATTAAAAATAGCAAGTGGAAGGAGAGCAGTTTGTTTGTTTAACATTGGGCATGCATCAGAAGGAAAGGGAGCTTGGGTAGAGGACAGAAGCATTGAAAACAAGGGAGCAAAATTAATGGGATGGAGACAAGGGGAAAAGGGAGAATGGAGGAAGTAAAGAAAGCACAGGGGGGTCAGCAAACTAAAAATATACACCGTACTTTAGGTATAATACTGTAAGTCATTTTTATTTTGAATATAGGTTTATAACTAGGTTTAGTCTTATGTTTTAAAAGCCTTCACATTCCCTTTTCATTTCTATTGGCAGTTTGACTGTCATTTTTCTGGCATAAGTGGAATTAAGTAATCAAAGGGGTTGCGAAAACGTGCTGGATTTTTATTTGGTTTCTAAGAGTTCCGTGGGGCTAATCTGTGTTCTTCCTTCCAAGGTGGATCGAATGTCTTTCCCATGTGGCTGCACTAAAGAAGGATGTAGTAACACAGCAGGTAGAATTGAATTTAATCCTATCCGTGTCCGGACTCACTTTTTGCACACAATAATGAAACTTGAACTGGAGAAAAACCGAGAGCAGCAGATCCCCACCCTGAACGGCTGCCATGGTGAGATAAGTGCTCACAGTAGTTCCATGGGCCCTGTCTCTCACTCCGTAGAATATTCCATCGCAGACAATTTTGAGATTGACACTGACCCCCAGGCTGCAGTGCTGCACCTGCAGTCGGCTGAGGAATTAGATTGCCCAGGCGAGGAGGAGGAGGAGGAGGAGGAGGAAGAGGAGGAGGAGGAAGAGGATGGAAGCAGCTTCTGCAGTGGAGTCACCGATTCGAGCACCCAAAGCTTGGCACCTAGTGAGTCAGATGAGGAGGAGGAAGAGGAAGAGGAGGAGGAGGAGGAGGAGGAGGACGATGACGATAAAGGGGACAGTTTTGTGGAAGGTTTGGGTGCCCACGCCGAAGTTGTCCCCCTGCCTTCCGTCCTGTGTTATTCTGATGGCACCGCCGTTCACGAAAGCCACGCAAAAAATGCTTCTTTTTATGCCAACTCTTCAACTCTGTATTACCAAATAGATAGCCACATTCCAGGAACCCCTAGCCAGATCTCCGAGAACTATTCTGAAAGAGATACTGTCAAAAACGGTACCCTCTCGCTGGTGCCTTACACCATGACCCCGGAGCAGTTCGTTGACTATGCCCGACAAGCGGAAGAGGCCTACGGCACCTCTCATTACCCAGCTGCTAACCCCTCTGTCATCGTTTGCTGCTCCTCCTCGGAAAACGACAGCGGCGTGCCCTGCAGTAGCTTATATCCTGAACACAGGTCCAATCACCCTCAAATGGACTTTCACTCATACTTGAAAGGCCCCTCCCAGGAAGGGTTTGTCTCTACCTTGAATGGTGACAGTCACATTTCAGAGCATCCTGCTGAAAATTCTTTGAGCCTTGCTGAAAAGAGCAGATTGCATGAAGAGTGCATCAAATCGCCTGTGGTGGAGACCGTCCCTGTCTAGTAGCTTAAGACCAACTCTCCTCCTATTTAAAGCACTGTATTTAATTGGATTTCCTGGGCTCACGGTTGTTTAAAATGAGGACCAAGAAAACTTGGACAGTAGGAAATCTTCCAGACTGTATTTTGTTTTCTTCTTTGTAGCTACATGACTGTGGCATTGCACAAATACAGTCTTTATGAGGATTTTAAAAGATTTCAGACTGTTTTGATAGAAAATGCTAATTTTAAAAAAAGCATATCTCACAATTGCCTACCTGTCAAACTGTGTGAAACCTGCCAAGCTGTGTAGATCAGAGCTCCAAGTTTTGGATTATCGGGCCTGTGCAAGATTATTAACTAAGACTGGGAAATAATAAGATTTAGAGTCCTACTTTTCGATATATCTGAAGATGATAGTGACTTTTTAATGTAAAAGTAACTATTGTAAGAAAAAGATTTAATCGTTCCATGTGTATTTTATTTATGGTAGTTAGAAGTCATGTTTTGATGAAAATGAACAGCAGCATGTTCTTTTAAGCTGAAGATGCATAGTTAGTACCACCGAGCATGCCACATGGATTGCATCTGGAATCCATTCATGTTTTTATGATCATCACTGATCAGATTCGCAAATACTTTCTTAATGGTGAAATAGGCCTATTTTTGCTATTTTGGACAAATAAATGAGTCTATATGTGCAGGTCCTTACACAGTTTTCTCTAAAGTTAAAGAGTTAGGACAATCCTCTGGTGAGGGTCTAGTTTGTTGCCCTCCCTCAGTTGACTCCAGAGATGGAGGTAGAAGGAATTGCCTTTCTTTTTTAAACAGCATCATCTTGGTTCTTAGCTTGGACAGCACCTTTAAACTCTACTCCCCTACATCAAAATGCACTTTAGTGCCCCTTCATGGTACCTTGTGAGGGGTGGGGACTGAGAACTCTTTGAGATGAAAATTTTTAATTTTTTTTTAATCTGTAACTATTATAAGGTTCATATAATCCAATGATACTTTGTGAAGGAAAAATGACCTGTTTTCCTTTGTCACTCTGAAGACCTAACTCAGTAAAAGCAGAGGAGGCTGAGGAACATGGAAGAGACACATCCTCAGCAGCCAGCCTTTTCTACAGCGTGATCAATCCATCTCTACAAAAAGAGTGTGTAATGAGATTTTCATTTAGTGACTAGCTGATGGAAGTGGGGGGGGGCCCCACCCAAATATTCAACTAGGCCTTACTTTTTGAAGCATTTTGATTTCTCCTGCCTGGGACAATTAGCAGAACAGTCCAGAATGCATTGAGTCCTTTCTAATTACCTCACGTTCTCTTGTTAAAGAGGACAGATAGAAATAAAACATGCACTCCCCACCATTAGATTATGTGCACTTGGTTTATCAGAGGACTTCTAAGATCCCATTTTCTTGTAAATTAATTTAGGCGACTAAATAGTGTGTTTTACCTTCTTTTTTCAATGCAATATGACTATGCTAAATCTGTTTCATATTTTTGAACTTCTATTGTTATATCATTTCACATATGCCTCTTTGAAATGTGGACATGCCTTGCTATTCAGTGATTGCATCACTACTTATTTTTTATGTCTTTTGGACTTGGATGTTTAGATATATGGATATAAACATATTGTAGATCCCAATTCCTTAAAAAATACTATTTAATTGAGCTTAAAAATTTTTGAACTAAGGAAAGTCCTCCAATGGAAAAGTTTCTTCTAAAACTTGATTTGGGGAAAATGTGTTTACTTGGCAGCTCTTTCATTATGCAATTGGTTCCTATCCCTTCTCTACCCCACTACTGGGCCAAATTTATAACCACTAATATTAAAGTGAAAGGAGCTTTGAGTTTGTCCTTATGGAGGTTGCAGTAATGAGAGCAGGGATGTCCCTTTTTAGTGATGAGTCCTTTGGGCTAATCAGATTGGGGTTTTGCTATCCTGTGTTGTCTACAAAGTTACAGTTTATAGTGCTTGATCAAATTATTTTCCCCTACCAATACAATCTAAAGAGCACAGGCCCAAAGAGAAATATGACAAGAGGCTATTGTTCTTTCGTTCAAGCACGTGACGGAATCGCGTGTGCCCTGTGTCCTAGATCATTACAAGCCCTTGAAGTATTTACCTGTGAAGCATTCAGCTTATTCTTGGAACACAGTATGGCAGAGTGGGGAAGGGGTGACTCTGACTGGAGCAGAGTTGAAGGATAGAATGTAAGTTCAGTTTCTGAAAGGACAGATATGTAATTCAGTTCAGGTTGATTTTCAAGAAAGCTGACACCTGCTTGTTCATGTTTGGCTGGTCTTTGTTTTGTTGCTTCATTTCCAAAAGAACGCTTAAGCTAGAAACAGGTGCGCGCGCGCGCGCGCACACACACACACACACACACACACACACACACACACACACACACACATTATCCCCCTATCTGTTCAATTGGAGTTGGTAATCATAGCTACACAGAAGGATTAATCTTCCAACCATACAGCTTCCATTCCAAATTTTCATATGTATAACAACCCCTAAACATCTCTCATAAACTACATGCACAAATTACCTACACCCACATCTACCACACAGGCACACACATTCAACAGATAGATACCACACAGTGAATAATGACAGAGTATAAGCAGTGGCCAAAATTCAATACATTATTTTGTACTGAATTTCTCCCACCCTAGAAGCTGTTTGGGTTTTATGCTCTAAAAATGTCATCTAAAAAGAGTACAATTTTTAAAGATAGAGTTTGAAAATATTGAGTCAAAGTTGTAAATAATACTAATGATAGAATCATTGCATTGTTACTTCCTTTCCCAGAAAAGCTGAGAGAGCAGTGTTCCATCTGACTTTTTTCCCCCCATTAATAGCCCTTCTATTCAACGAAAACTGCCCACATGCCAGGAAAGCGTGATAGTTTTTCTAAGCTTTTTAAAATGGGGATCAAGCTAGAGGCAACCAGTGGAGATACTTAAGAACTTTATACCAAGACACAATAACCTGACCTGCAGCCGTTGCATTGCCCCCAGAGTAAGGATATCTAACCAAATTATAGTCATTTTTGACACACGGCCTTTTAGTCATTCACTGTCAATAGCAAAGCTTCCTACATTGGTCCCTGTTGTTTTAGCGCCAGCCCTCTCTACCTTTTACTGGACCGTAATTCCCGGTTATAATCCAGGCCAAATGGATTTGCAAGTCAAGTGGGTAGAGCAGCTTGCATTTCCTTCGTCATTCTAGGTTTCCTTTGGGAGAGAGAAGTCAATGAAAGAGATTTACTTAAGATTTTTTCCCCCATTTCTTGATCATTGATTGTGAAGACATAAGTAAAACGTTTGCCCCATGTCTTTTGGTTAATTGAATTATATATTTAGTTTTTGAAAGGCAATCTTTATTGTTCGTGATGAAACTTTATTTTTCCTATTGTCAGCCACATATAAAATGTGAAATTAATATTTACTAGAGTGATACGATCCTCACAATGATGTATGACTCAATAATAGCACCCCCCACCAAAAAAAAAAAAAAGAAAAACTAAGTTACGGAAACACAGGCCACAAATTAATTAAGAAGCAAAGAGATTATAAGTGATTATATTCTTTAAAATTTTATACTCTAATAGATGACTTCTGGGCAAAATTCTGGTTTGGTTATCATTAAACAGGAAAATTTAATTTACTTCCTATAAGTAGATATATTACTGATTCTTTGATTAAAATTCTGATGTTGCTGTACATGTTTATAACCCTTTGGTCTTGATATTTTGAATTTATTAAGTACTAATTATTTCCACAAATATTTATTGAACCCCTACAATGTTATAGGAGCTGTCCTATGTAGTAAAAAGTGGGGAAAACACTGCAAATCTAAGGGTTTATGATGATGAAGAGTGGCATGAAATAATCAAGTCTCATTATAATCCTTTTAATTTGTGATTTTATAAAGTGATATTCAAAAAAGTGATATCAATTCTTGTCTAATTATATGCAAACCTCAACTAAAAGAATACTTCTTTTTCCTAAATTAGTGGGATTCTCTAGATCCTCCTTCTTTCCTCTGCCCCTATCTGAAATTTATGAATTAAATCTGGATTTATCTAGAATAACCGAATTGAATGGAAAAGACATTTTCAGCTAATTGCTTCTTCAGTGTGAGACCTATATAAGTGCTGCTAAATTTATCCTAACAAGCTCCTACCAGTCAGTTTCAAAGGCAGACTGACTCGTGTAGCCCAAGAAACATTTCAGGAAACCTTTGAAACAACAATGTGGAACGCAACCGCTCTTCAATTCATAAACAGCCTATCAAAATAGCAAAACCCTGGTTCCAAGTTCCAAAGGCACTACCTTGCAGCCAAAACAGAGGTCACTGAGCTCCTTCACCTTTAGTTGGGGTTACAAACCATCAGATTACCAGGTGGAAAATTGACATCCAGAAGTCCAGCAAAGACTGCCTACTTAAAAGGTGCCACAAAGCCTTCTATTTCTCCAAATATGACTTAATCTTTCTCTTTAAAATGGCATCTTCTCCTTATTCTCTTACAGAGAGTTGACAGTGTCACTGTGATCAGGGAATAAAATACCAGCTTTCAATGGGAAGTACCGTCATGCTTTTGAAGGCAAGACTTGAGTGTCATTTGAAACTGGAACTCTATACATCCTTACTTACCACAACCAATGCCAAAAGCTTAAAAACCTTAATCACTCTTAGTTCTAACACCAATTTGCAACTACTTATTACATTACTCTTTCAGAGACCTGCTAACTTGCACTAGAGTAACTTCAATGCCTAAGCCAAATACCACAGCTTTGCACAAATAGCACAGCCCATCAAACGTTTTCTGTAGCATTAAAGAATTGAATTGACTGAATTTAACTAAATATCTGCAATTTGAAACCTCACTAGAATGATGGAAGTGCCAGGGTGGGGTGAGGATGGAGTATAAGCTGAATCAGTGGCGGTGTCTCCTGAAAACTATTGGGTTGTCAGAAAAGTCATGACAATTTTTTTCTGATTTTCATTGCAAAAATGCGACATGACTTCTCCGACAGCCCAATATAAAGTTTCAGCAAATCTGAAGAAGTATAATTTTATTATACTAGAAAAACCCAATTCACAAATGGCAGCCTGAAACATAGAAGGGGCAGTTACAACATGAACACTCACAGCCTCGGTGTCACCGTCTTCTGCCCCCATCCGCATCAGTTACATCTTCACTGTCCAAAAGTCATTTGATGCTTTAAATAATAAACACAGAGCCACAACACGCTCAAGAAACTTTTTAAGATATAAACACATTTTATATTAAAATGACTGATAGACTTGTCAAAAGTAATGAATACGGGAAATAAAAGAGGGCTTTAATATTTTACCTTCCAAGTCTGTGTATTCAATGTGATTCTTTAAAACAATCACTTCGAAGTTTTACTTTAACTCCTTTCATAGCTTTCGACCTAGACCATGTGACTCCCTTCCTAACCAGTGCAGGGTTTTGAGGTTTTTCCTTTCTTACCGGAAATTCAAACTCAAAAGCTCAGTATGAGCTGGGTTTTACCTGGTGAGCCATCTTGGGGTAGGTCTAACTCGGGGCTGTCTGGAGGGTCGACATCAGGCGTCGGGTTTCATATCCTGACAGTGATAACTCAGAATGATGGGAAGCAGGAAGGTATATACAACCAGGTTCAAAGCCTAAACCAGTTCATGTTTTATGTGCAATGTTTGTGATCTAATTAATGTATAGCCTGCAATTTTAGCAAATACAGGTACTTGTTACACATTCGCTGAAAATGAGGTAATTTTAAAGATGTAAGTCACGTTGTTGGCTGCTTTCACTTGTGATAAATATATCACTATACAGGGTAATGGTTTTTTTATTTTAAACTTTACACTTGCTTATAGTTCAAGAAAAGCCAATTCTAGTATGTCATTTTATTACATCTCATAAGTTTCTGGCAGAACTGAAGTTTCAAAGGAATATGATAGGATTTATTTTGGACAATACTGAAGTTCAACATGCTAATGATACCATTCCTTTCTCTGCATTACTCATTATCATGGTGATAGTCAGGTCAGTTCAATAACTCTCATTTTAGTGACATGGATGAAGCCACTTAAATATTTTTAAGATAATGTATGTTAACTAGGAGGATTTAGGAGAAGGCAAATTTATGGTAGAAATTAGCCTTGCCTTTGTCTAAGTTAGTTTATGTGACCTGATTGAACGGTTTTGGTTATAATTTTGAGATGGCTTCTTTGGTAAATATCCCTCTTTTGTCTTTCTCCTAATAGTTTTACCTGGCTTGTGAGTATCTTAAAAATTACTTATTAATGAGTATTTGGAAGGAAGTTGATTTAGAAAATATTCTCTTTAAAAATTATCTAGGCACTTCTTTCACCAGAGATCTGTATCAAGTAAGTCCTACTGCCACTCTGGGTCAGACCAGAAAACCCCTCGTCAGGGGTCTGGCTTCTTGATTAAAAAATGAGGTTGAAATTTCTAACTTTATAGCACAATTTATCCAATTTTGTTTTGCTCTTCATTTTTATGTTGGTGGCCAACCTTATCACCTTAGCCATAAATAAAGACAACCACCTTTAAAACAAATTCAAAGATTTATATAGCATTTTAACGTTTTACTTAAATATGAAAGAGATGAAATAAAATCCAAGTATGAATTCTCAAAGAAGAGAAACCTAAATATTTAGCCCTAGGAAATAAATTGCCTGAGGTTAATTTTTTACTTGTTTGTTTTTTTATTTAGTTTTGATCCTTGGGTGGTTTAATGATGCCCAAATGATATCTGAAGTTGACAGACTTTAAATTTAAGTAGTTGGCAAAGTTATTTCCTTTGTACTACAATCAAATAGGGTCTACTGTCAAAGGTTACTGTCTGAATCTTGATTCATTAGGCACTAGGCATGCCAAACGGTTATCTCAGAATAGTTTAATCTTTTAAAAGATACTCATAATGGCCAACTGTGTGTGAATAATGGAAAGTTTGAGATTCTTCTGTATTCTTTAAATTTTATAGTCCTGAGACTAGAAGAGATTTCCAGAGGTCATCTGGCTCATCCATCTACCTCCAGGGAGAACTGTCACTCAGGCATGCCTCACACGATAGATGCCCATCTATTCTTCACATCTCTAGGGAAGGCGGTTTCCTTGGCAACACAATCCAGTTCTCTTAGGTTTTTCTCACAATACGAAAATATCTTGGCCAGTCTTTGTGAGCTAGGCACCTGGCAACAGTTGTGGTAATTTGGGCCATTGTGCTAGGAGACTCAAAGAAAGTTGGGTTTCCCTTACCGTTGATGATTATTACATTTGATGATTCCATAAATCTCATAAGAAATCCAATTTTTAAAAATAAAGATGTGGGTATTGAGACAATGCTTGGTAACATGACCTGCTCTCTACAAATATGACTGTAGTTGGGTTATTTTATTTTTCTTTGGTTTACCATTCACTATGATGTCTGGAGGTAATTTCAGGAAAGGTGACTGTTTCTGAGAAGTTACAATTACAAAAACGTGAACATTTTCTACCTTTTTGCTTCTAAATAAATACCTTCTGATTAATCTTTCTTTACCCTAAAACGACAAATGAGAATCTCAAGTTTTTCCACTTCTGGGGGAGGTGTGACTAGCTATGGAGAGTCTGGTATGGAGTAAATGACTCCAGAGAAATTACTCAGCCACCACTTGTGTACCGGGCTTTGTCCCCATGTTATTTAAACAATGGCTGCCTGCCTTCTCAGGGATCAGCAAAACGATTTTAAAATTTATCTTCCTGACAAGGCCTGAAAACAAAGGGAGAAGTCTGAGAGGGCAGTGATTGTTTTTCTGATTACATCACTTAGCCCAAGCAACCTTTGCAGCTTTCTGAGTGTTTTCTGTTTGCTTAGAGTTGCTTCTAACTCAGAGTCAGAGCTAACCTGAAGATAAGGAGCACCCTCAAAATCAATGTTTCCTTTCTCCATGGGATTTAGGTACAGCTACTTGTCTCCCCAACTCAGATGCTCTTGTGAAATGACAGCCACACCAGTGTGGTTGCTCCCCACAAATAACAGGAGGGGAAATAACGTTTTTTGCTTTAAAAAAAAAAAAAAAGCTACAGAATGTTTATGTAAAGAATGTTGAATCATTTGGCCCATGTTTTAATTGAGTCTAGGCACCTCTGTGGAAATAAGTCTGAGGCGTAGTTCGTGAAACATGTTTCAAAAGTGTTTGATGTAAAATAAACGCTAGACATTTACAGAAATAGTTTTTAAAAATTAAAAACCTGTAGATTACAACTCTGTTCCTAAGAACCTCAGCCTTTATTGTGTCTTAGTAAAGTTGATCTGCTTTCATTTTAGTTCATTGCATTTCTGGTGTAATAGCCTCTTTAGAACTATTAATACATATGTACTGGTTAATGCCTGTTAACGCAGAAAATGACACTTTGTTATTTCAATGTGTTTCCCTCAATGTCACAGGGTATATCAGTTTGATAGGAAAAGGTCATTTGAC